AACGGAGCCGGCGCCTAGAAGGACGCTGCTGAGTAAGTTGCCCAAGAGCGACCCACGGAAGTTGCGGTCCTCCCAGCCGCCTTAAAGGGCCAGTAGCAGCGCCAGCCGGGCTACTCCACGGTTGCGTTGCAGTCAGGGGACACGTGACCCTGTTGTGGCCGGGTGTCAGCCTGGGTGGGCGGAGCTTCGGGAAGGGGCGGCCAATGAATGATGGAGGGAATTACCGGGAGGCGGCCCCTGGGCAGCCCTGGGAAGGGCTGGAAGTGGGGTGATGCAAGGGGCATCCTGCCCCCTGAACACGCAAGGGGAGCAGGGTGAGAGTGAAATCCTCTGAACTGGCATTCATGCTAAAATTCGACACTCTCCGTGGGGGGCTGAACAAAGACCCCAACTACCTTACCCATTACCAAGATAGCTTCCCCAATGATCACCTCTAATATCATTAGCTCACAGACATTTACCTTCCTTCCCCCTCCCCCCCCCATCCTCCTTCTGTTCTGAAATGTGATTTGTCCTTTTCATATGTGTTCTTTTTTTTTAATTGTATCCTTTGGTATATATGGTTGTGATTATTTTCTTCCACTATTTGATCTGAGGAAGTGAGTCTGGCCCACGAAAGCTCATCATCTAATAAACCATCTTGTTAGTCTTTAAAGTGCTACATAGTCCTGTATTTTGTGAGAGTGGGGTAGCCAACCCTCAGCTTGGCCTGGAGTCTAGCAGTCCTGACATCCCAGGGATTATTGAAACCAGCCCTGGAGAGTGTCATAGGGCAACATTGTCTCATGGCACAGAAAAAATCTCTTGGACTATCTAAGAGCAGGCTGGGTCTGGCCCCAGCAGCCTGGCATCTACCATCTGCAAGGAGAATGGGACCTTGGGCAAGTCGTTTCTGCTCCCTGGTGCAGTGTTCCCACTGGGAGCAGGAGGATAATGTAAGGGTCACCTAGTCACAGTTGCAAGGTGTGACGTAGTGGGGGTACCTTGCTGGTTGCTATGCTGGGCAGTGGGTTGTGAGTGACCTCCACTGGCTGCTGGCTGCGGCATGGCCCAGCAGGGCACAAGATGAGTCATTATGCAAAGAGGATCTCTCAAACTGTCCGACCAGCTACCCCCCAGGGAGAGAAACAAAGGAAGGTGGAATGCCGCCCTGGCTGGGGGACAGGGCTGGAAGGGAATGAGTTAGTTTCTGTCTGGGATCATGGAGGAGACAGCCTAGGGAAAGGGGCTGGAATTTAGGGGCCCAGTCTCCCCCATCTCAAGGGGGGCTGAGGTATCCTAGCCCCAGTTCCTGTAACCGGATTACACCTGTGCTGTGCTGTATCCTGGAGAAGCAATAAACACCCTATATTCTACTGGCTGGTGGAGCCTGTCCATGCGATTACGGGAGTGCAGGAGACGGGAAAACCCCAATGCGCAGCACACTGGTGTAAGGAGCGGGATGCACTGCACCCCGTGGATGGAGCTTCCAGCGGCGAGCAACAAGGTGCAATAGAAGTAAGAGCCCTGGAGCCAGGCGTGCTGGAGACAGAGCGAAGCGGTTCCTGAGAATCGTGGGGTGCTGCAGCACTAGACTGGTGAGTTTGCACCGAGGGGACCAGCTGGTGAAGCTGTGCATAGAGGGGGCCTGTGAGGAGCACAACCAAGGCCCAGCTGATTGCCCGGCTGGAAGAGAATGACCAGCCATGGGGCCAGGATCTTGCCCCAATGGGGAGCAGCCAGACCCCACCTGGGAGCGTGTCAGGCTCTGAGAGGGGGCGGGGCACTGGAGCCTGCCGGAGAGATGGGACAACTTCCGCAGGGAGGCCTGCAAGCTGTAGCCCATCTAGGGCAGGAGCCAGCCCAGCAGAGCTGCGGTGGCTGGAGATCCAGCTGCGGATGAAGGAATTGGAAGTAGAGGACCGAGAGAAGAAGCGCCAAGATCGAGAAAGGGACCGCCAGGACTGAGAGAGGCAGAGGCAGCATGAGTTGGCCATGGCAGAGCGGAGAACCGGTGAGGCCCCGGCTGCACCGAGTGCGGATGGCCCCCAACGTCCCAGGGCTGCCAGACGCTTGGAGAGGCTCGTGGTGGCCCAATTGAAGGACATGGGCAACATAGACAGGTTCCTCAGCTCCTTTGAGAGGGCCTGTGGACTGCAACGGGTCCCCCCAGCGGACTGGCTGCAGGAGCTCGTCCCCGCACTGAACCAGGAGGCTGCTGGAGTGCTCAGTCAGCTGGAGGACCTACAGCCGGGGGATTACAACCGAGTCAAGGAGGCCCTGCTGCACAAGTTCGGGATGACCCCCAAGATGTACAGGAAGAAGTTCCGGGGGGTACAGAAGGAGCCACGGGAGACCTATGTGGACCTGGCCTCCCGCCTGGTGCAATACTGCCGCAAGTGGGTGTCTGGAGTCGGAGCCCAGACTGCAGAGGAACTGTTCAAGCTGATCATGATGGAGCAGTTCTATGAAGCATGCACACCCAGACTGAGGCTGTGGCTCAAGGAACGAAGACCAGAGAACCCTCAGTAGGCCGGGAGACTGGCGGATAAGTTCATGGAGAGCTGGTCCGGGTGTGAACGGGAGTCCTGGAGAGAAAGGGAATCGCGCAGAGACCGGATCTCGGCTGAGCGACGGAGAGAGTCAACTACGAGGCGAGCCCAAGAGACAAGTCGTCGGCGCCCCAGAGAACCAGCCAGGGCCTGGACAGAGACAGCCCAAAGGAGCCCACAGGACCTAACTTGCCATCGCTGTGGGAAAAAAGGCCACAAGAGGGCTCAGTGAACCAGGTCCCATGACCTGGGACTTTCCAGGGTTAACTGGCTGGAGCTGGAGAAAGGGCAGGCTGCCCCAAAGGCTGGGGCCAGCAGGCAAACCTCAGCTCAGAGCGGGGGAAAGGATGCTCAGTGCACCTCCCCTGGGAGGTCTGACCCTTGGGAGGCAGACTTCTCCGGGTACCGGGTGGGGGCAGGACGGCCCCTGCGGAGCGAGTCCCTTGTACTCCTGGAGGTGGATGGCAGGGAGGTGACGGGTTTCTGGGACACGGGGGCAGAGGTGACGCTGGCCTGTTCCAACATAGTGGGCCTAGACCGGGTACTACTCCACATGCAGCTAACCCTGAAGGGCATAGATGGATCCCCATTTAAGGTGCCTGTAGCCAGGGTGCATCTGAAATGGGGGGCCAAGGAAGGTCTCAAGGAAGTGGGGGTCCACCTGCACTTGCCTACGGAAGTGCTGATGGGGAATGACCTAGAGGAGTGGCCCGATGAATCCCAGCTTGCTCTACTGGGCTAGATGGACCTTTGGTCTGACCCAGTATGGCAATTCTTATATTCACTTCATATTTCTAACTTCACCTACAAGAATGATATATGCACAGAAATAGAATATACCCATTCAACAGACCGTAAATTTCAAAATGATATGTCACATGATGCATTTTGCCCAAAGCATTTTTGAGTTATGTATATTAATATTCATAAGACAATTTTTATAAAGCATGGGGAGCCATGACACTTGGAGCCAAGCGGGCCCCACAAAATCTAGTCCCCCAGAAAAGTTAATCTAGCCCTGTCCACTGGAATCCATTCTTAGTTCTATGACATTTAACATTTTTATCAACGATCTGGCAGAAAACAAAATAATCACTGACAAAGTTTATAGATAACACAAAAACTGGGGGAGAGCTTAATAATGAAGAGGGCATGTCATTGATACAAAGTGATCTGAATCACTTAGTAAGTTGGACATATGTAAACAATATGCATTTTAATATAGCTTACTATAAGGCTATGTCTACACTGCTGGTTTTGCACAAGAAATATGCAAATGAGGCTCAGTGAACTATCGCTGAGCCTCATTTGCATAATTAATGAGCAGCCGCTTTTCGCATAAGAGGCTTTTGCACAAAACGGAGCCATCTACACTGTTCCTTCTCGCGCAAAAACCCCCTCTTGTGCAAGAGCCGTTCTTCCGCATTTTTTTTCAGGAAGAATGGCTCTGGTGCTAGAGAGGGTTTTTGTGCAAGAAGGAGACGTGTAGATGACTCCTTTTTGCGCAAAAGCCTCTTGCGCAAAAAGCAGCCGCTCGT